CTCGAAATCGCTTCCCGTAAATTTTATAATTCATCTAAATTCTCGATTAAGCTTATGGAGTAAGGTTTAAGCCGATATACCTCTCGAAAAGATCAAATTGGAAGTTGGAAAAATTAAAACGGCTAGGGAACGACCCGGTTGAGCTCGGGTGTACTCGGATCTAAGCTATGGGCCCGGTTTATGGGCCGAGAGTCACGGATCTGAGGAGCTGGGCTGCTGTTCGGGCCGAGATCGAGGTCAGGTGGTCGGTTCGGGGCTGAAATTGCAGGTCACGGGCTGCTGTTCGGTCGCGGCTTGGTGTACACGTGAACGGGCCGCCGGAAAAACAGAGCTGGATGAGAGAAGGAGCTGCGGGCTGTGTTCTTGCCGAAAAATGCTGAGGAGGGGCCGTGAGCAGGGGCTGTTAGTCGCTGGTCTGCTCGTCGGGACGCGGATGCTGGTTCGTCGTGTGCCTCGCCGTGAAGGAAACTCGCCGGAACTGGAGAGCTGCGGGTTTGGTCGGGCCTTGAGCTGCGGGTTTGGTCCTGGTCGTGAGCTGCGGGTTTGAGCTGCTCGTCGGAGCTGAGAGAGCTTGACGGGGCTGAGCTACGGGATGTCGTCGGTGATGGTGCGAGCTTGCCGTGAAAGTTGGTTGGAGAAGATGACCGTGAGCTGTCCGTTTCTTTCCGATTTTTCTCCCTTTTTTTTTTTTTAATAATAGGGGCTATCTGATTGGGAAAAATATTTGAGCTGGGAGATTCTACACTTGATGCGCCCGTTCAATGAGAAGGTGGGGAAAATTGATATATTTATATATGGGAGAATTAGGGTTTGAAGTGTGTATTGGGCCTCCAATAATCGGTCTTGGACTAGTATAATCGGGCTAGCGAAAATAATACGTTTTGGGCTCAATAATTATAATACTACGTGGGCCGAGAAAATAATAATTGGGTTTGTTCGGGAATTAAATAAATTCCGGACTTTTCTAATACTCGATAAAACTAATAAATCGAGACTTAGATTTAGGATTTTATCTCGTTTCCGAACTAATAATTCTCGGCATAATTAAAATATTACTAATTTTGATAAATAAAGTCGAGCTAAATATATTATTTTTGGGCCGGGGTTTACACTTAGCATGCAAAACAAAG